ATCTTCCGCTACAGCAACGAGATGGCGTAGGAACTTCTAATTCGGAGGAAACTTCTTACTGGGCCTCGTATATGATGTCAACCTCTTACTTCGTCCAGCTGAAGCATAGCAAACGAACGTTGTTATTTTTGCTTTTGCCGGTGCCAACATCAAGTTTAGAAACTACATCGTGCTATAGATCGTCGAACTAATTTCTCGGTCGTAGTTGTTTGGTGCGTAGCATGGTATTAACCAGCCTTCATGCCTGTCGAATTGTGATCGAGCCAGACTTTGACTTGCAGGCACTGGAAGAGTGGACACACTCCATGATGTAGTCGAACAAGCAGCATCGACTGTTCGGTAAAAAATGTGAGGAAAAAAAAACATCTCGAGCAAAAGGCATCAGGTAGTCCAAAGCTGTACATCATTTGGACCGAGGTGCTTACATGGATGCGTTTATGGCGCTGATTTGACGGCTACAACAAGAAAGTCTGGTCACAAACCAACATGTACTTGGCATGGTAGCGGCATCCACCTCATCCGCGTACGCAGCTTTAGAGCTTGTGAAAGATGCTGGACGGTTTTGATGTCAACGCAGCAGTAAGCAGCTTTCGCTTTAAAAACATTCGTAACGTCCGGAGCTAACGGCAAACGAGCCTTCTTTGGTTTCAACGTTGCCCCTTAGGCCAAACAAACCTCTGTACCACCGACTACTGTTTCAGAATCCACGCTACTCAAAAGCTCCAGCCTTGCAAACAGTCAAGTAGGCACAATGAGTTGTTCTATCAGTGCTCCAACAATGCACTTGATTGCTGAGGACAGTATCATTTCCAAAAGCCGTGGAACATCGGACGTGAATGATACTGAGTGCAACTGAGTGTTGATGTTTGCAGCATCCCACGAGATGGTAGCCGAAGTCCAATTCATATCCAGGTCCAACGTCGTAGCAGCAGCACGGGTACTACCGATGACTTCGGCATAAAAATCGTGCATCAGGTGCGCCCGGTTCAAATCCACCTGAACCGATGATCTTGGCTGACCTTCATCATGCGCTACCAAACCACGGCAGTGCTGGGATCGAAACGAAGTATAACTGCGTAATATCGTGCAGGAGTCACGATCAGGTCAGCGCGAAACGGGTCAAGAAAACAAGTATTGAATATTGAGTACAAAAACCTGCTAGAAAAGACTCGAACGCGCGCGGGTTGCTATTGCAATACCAACGAACGTCAGTAAAAGTGCTCCGATTGCACTCTTACACAACCAACTTCGCTAAAAGTTAAGGTGCGATCCTTTCATTCATATAGATGCTAGCCCGTAGCGCAGTCTGCTTGCGAGGATCTGCTCGTCACGCTCACAACACGGCAACAGGTCACTAAGAACTGACCAACCGGAAAGACGACATTGCAATTAATTACCTGAATGGTAGAAACATCCGTAAACTTGACTCATCCATAAGAAGGGAGTTCAGGGCTGCAGCATGCGCTAATGTGGACCTATTCACACACGATACGATCAGGTGCATTATCCACAGCTACATTTTTCCAATACCAGGTTTCGAAACCAGACCTTTAGTACCCCGGCGTGTAAGCCACGCTCTTGCAACACCAGAATGCCATCCTGACCCCAACAAATTGTCGTGCCAATGTTTTCACAAGTACTCACGCTTATGTCGAGCTCTGAAACAAACCTTCGCGATACGTGTACCAGAAACATGCCACCCAAACTCCACGCTTTGCAGCGAAATGTCGCGCAGAACTACCTTGCAAAGCGCGACAACACCCAGCACCTCATCAAGTGCTAGAAGCACAAGTAAATCACATTCTCCAAAGCCACAAGCACAAATTGTTGGTGTCACTGCTGAGTGTCAGTACACATACCAACGTATGAATTATTGCACCATGAACCTTGATCAGGTGAATCGCAAGCTGCCATAGCACTGCCGGCACTTATTTCTCCAAGTATTTGTACTCTTCTTTCGCAGTTGTGCCAGACAGACGTGAGTTACGGCTTCCTGTACACAACTTTGGGTAGAATCTGCGAGATTAACACCACTCCTTGAACTGAGGAGACGCTAGATAGACACGTGCTTGAGCAAGCCTAGCTTGGGTGACAATTAACTTGCATGGTTCGACTGCAAGAGTCGAGACAAGACTTTCCATTTATAGGCAACTCAACAGATTGCAAGTTACGAGAAAGAGAACGGACATGAGCTCGTAGCGGCGCACCTAAAGTCTGGAACCATCCACTCTAGACACAAGCAAACGTCAGTAAACTGATCAAGCGTGTGCAAAGACTCTACAAGCAAGACGGACGATGATCAAGTCGATAGCCAGCGTGAAGACTGGTTGCCGTTGCATTGACTTTCACCGAGATATCTCTACATCCAGATCACAATTCTGTCTTCAGGCTCGACGCTATCAATACGTGAGATGTGAAATTGCAATTCTTGAGAACATCCGATGTATTGTTCGCTCGATGCTTTTCGTTAGAGAGACAATGGCTTCTGCTCATGTTCCTGATGATATTCAGGGCTGAATCCTCCGTTGCTAGCTCGCTGTGCATATCCAGTAGTAACTCGGTTGGCGTTTTGAAGTACCGGTGACGGGCTTCGCTTCCACGTCGCACGCATCGAAACACCATCGATTTCCGGATACCGTTCTGCAAATGAAGGTGTGCGCGGTGTCTTCAATAATGTTTGCAACACCGCATCGCGCTGTTCCGGGCTCTCATGTAGATAACGAAACTTCTTGAACACTTTCATAGCATAACGAGCATCAATAACAGGGTCATGATCCGCCTCCTGAATTTCGTGTCCAAGCAAGTGTTTGGCCACATGTCGCAGAGAAAAGTAGCGGTAGCGCACCACGCCATTCATCGATTGCATAGGCAGTCGGAACAGGTCAGCCACATCAAATTCGCCCTTGTAATCCGTCGGCTTCTTCAGCATAAGCCATTCCAAATCCTTCTTAATCGACTGGCCCACAATAACGCTTTCCACCGGCAAAACCTTTTTAAGCCGGACAAGCGCCTCTTTCAGATCAGGAGCATCTGCAAGGTTTCTATCACCCACGACAAGCAAGTAAGCTACAGTGTCAAGCGTGTCCACCCCAGATCACCTTCTATCACATTTCACATGACTCACCTCGCCGTGATACCCGTTAGCTGTGTGAGGTAGCTTACAACAGGTTTTGTAGGCTTGACATACTGATCAAACACCACTTGCTCGTCCTCGTCCACTACTGCAATTCGCGCAACATCTCGGTCGCTATGTTTTCAATTCAACGGTACACACACACACACGCAAAACAAAAACGAAACACTGTCAACGACCGCACTCGCCATCTTTATCCAAGGACCCAACAACCACAACGCACTCGTTGCCGCTGCCCGTGGCTACACACTCGACATCAATAGCAAAGAACTGTCACACACATACGCAATCAAAACAACAGCAGCAACGATAAGGTGAAGAAGAAGAAAGGAGAAAAAACACACACACGGTAAGCAACAACACCACCACCAACGTCACGGATAGCAGCTATTAAAGTGAATGATATCTAGCACCGTACCGGTCCTTGAATGACTCTCGTAAGCACCGGCAGGATCTCACAGATCGTCTCAGTCTTCTGTGCATCTTTTCCATGCCTCTGTCCTTTCTGGCGTGCACTCACGAATTCAGTGGCATGATATCCCAAGTACTCGTCTCCAGTATCAGCACTTGACGGCCCATGAAGGTCCAAGTGCTGGAAATGCTGGAGCTGATCACTGTACTGGTGCTGCTGCTGCTGATTCTTGTACTGATAATTGTAATAGACCACACTTCCACTGTCACCATCCACGTTACTACCTTCCGAATAATCGGGAGGCAAAGGCGGCTGTTGTTGCTGCACTGTTCGGCTTAGTCTTCGTAACCCCTCATCACTTCTGACGGCACCAAAAGCACCTTCAGAAGCTCCGTGAGCGTATGGACAAGTGGTTCCATTGCGACAGCCACTTGAAGACGCAAAGAAGCGACAGGCGCGTGAATCCAGTGACTCCGATACAAAGTTCGACTTGCTCATGCTCCTGTTCGTGTTGGTGGTTGCGTCACCATGAGTCACCACGTGCTTTTCAACCGCGTCTTGTGCCGTGCCGATACAAAAGCTGAGATCGTGACGAAATGCGCACGAGCCACCGCGAAAACAGCCACGGGACGACTGGAAGAAGCGGCACGTCGAGCTGCTGGAGTTCGTAGCATCACTACTGGTCGTCTGCATGGAAAAATCAACACTGCCGCAATTAATGCCAATGAATGAATGAATGAGAACAAGCAAATGCGCGCTATAATCGAAAGTGAACAAACGATTGGGGAGACCGAGTGCATAGTAGACACGAGTATAAACGAGCCCGCTGGAATCTCGCACGCGGAATCAGAGCCAACGTGATCACAAATAAGAAGAAAGAGAGCTAGTAGGGCCATACCGAGTAGCACTTGTTTGTACTTTGCCTGAAAAAGGGACAGTTTAGGAAACGATAGACTGCGCTTTATCTCTTCGACTTTTTCATTCCCTCCCTTGTCCTTCGTAGCATCATTTGTTAACCAGGATACGAATGGGCGTGCTTCGACTTTTGACAGACGGTACGACGTAAAACTCCATGATGATGGACAAGTGTTGCACTCGATGGGTATTGGCCATCACCCATCGGCCGTAGGTTTCAAGTATGAATATCTCACTGGACTCTTTGTAGACTACTTGCACGTCGCAGAGCGTGTTTGCCCATTATGTTGAAAGGCTCTATCGTGAGCATGCTGCTGCATGACGATCCGCGTGAATATCTCGCCAGTCATGGATGCACGTGGGTTATCGCCAGCAGTATTACAACCGCATCGGCGCGTACGACCGAAAAGGATGTCGGTCGTGCAACGTTTGACTGCTCACGTGCATTTCGCCGTGACGAGGCAAGCATGTTATGCATGATGTTGCAGCAGCGAACACGTCTACACATGACAAGACGTTATTGCTGAACAAAATCCAGAAGGGAGGTGCACACAAATCCTGTGGATGCGCTCTACTGCGTCGTGTGAGCAATGAAAGAACGATCAGTCGATTCCGACAAGACGAAGAGTTTTGTGGACTGCACGGGCGTCATGCTAAACAATAGTCTGCACCAGCCATCCGCTCAACAATGGAAAAGCTCGGGATTGAACAGCCGCCACGTCAAGTTTATTCTACTACATGTCATGCATCCACTTTTAGCTGGTGACTCAGAAACGCGCTCTTGTGATCTCGTGATGACTTTTGCAAACACGTTGATCTGCACAATTATAGCTGCGATACTCGCCGGACTGAGACGTGCTGTTCACACGTCTGCAATCAGCGTGTCTTTCTCTCGTCTGCGACACCTATCCATTGCGTCAAGTCCGGCTCTGTCGATCTAACACATCATGTCATACGTACGCCCCGCTTCCATTGCGAAGCTTTGTCATACATCATCATCAGGTCCTTCCGACTCGGTACATCCATTCAATGCGTCACACACTTGCAATCATGCGCGCAAACGGTAGAGCTGCTGCTGCTGCTGCACTTGGTACCGGTGCTGCTACAGACGCCGGTTTGGTCACAGAAGCGTGCTTGACAGCTGAAGCCAAAGTTGATATACACGATGTCGTCACATGAGACTTGACTATGTGTGTAGCCATCGGTGGTATAGCCACCCCACTGGTGGCAGATATTGGAAATGTATACCCAACGGATGCTGAAGGGGGCAAGGATGGTGTCATATCGGTCTTTGCGTCGCTACTGTTCTCAAGCACACGCACGAACCGACCCTTGATCCGCGGACGGTCATCTGCCAGCTTCTTCCGGCAGTCGTACTTGATGCTCTTCTTCCACGTGCGATTCTTGCGCTTCTCATGGAACCTCTGAAGACGCAGCTTCCGTGCTGCTGGGCTGTACGAGCCAATCTTCTTCCCGGTCGTTTTCGACGATGGGACACTCGTTCCAATGCTTAACACGCTGAGTACCGGGTCTACCGACGAACTTACTGGTATCGACGATGTGCAGGTACTTGCAGCAGATACTTGATCTCGCTCCTTGCAAAGCTCTTTCGAAGCAAACGAGCTGGCTGTCGTAGAGCAAGGAACAGCAGCGGCCTTAGAACTCGCAGCTGCTGTCGACGCACAACTTGCCATCTCCTCTCTTTCCTGTGTTTCTGCATCTTTCTCAGCGGCAAAAAGACTCGTACGCTTCCTACTTGAAGCGCTGGTTGGCGACGGAATCGTAAAATTCATCGTGTCAAAGCTCATGAGGAGCTTCTCGGCGTCCTTGGCATTGTTGCTTGATTCCAAGCGGATGTAGACCGGATCAACTATATGTGCAATCAATCACATGCACAAAACGACAAGACGTGAGCACGCAATCGTCTAAGCTCACTCGAAACGGGCACTTTCTCATTGCCTGAGCTAACAAACAAACACACACACAGCAAAAGAGCAAAAGAACTAACCGAAGGTCGAAGCCATCTCGGCCACGTCTTCAAAGTCCAGGCCACTGCCTCGCAAGAAGGATGGATGGAAGCCAAAGTCCGTGCCGTCGTGGTCGTGAGCCAGGGCGTCCATACTGAGTGTCAAGTCCATCTCGTCGTGGTTGACCCAGTCAATGTCCTGATTTAAGCAGTCGTCAAAGTCCATAGCACGGACGTAACAGTCGTCACTAGCACTTCCTGCTCCTGCTCCATGGAGAGAGACGACATCACACTCTCGCACCTTGTTCCCGTCCTCCCGTCGCACCTTCTTCTTCACGTCTGATTCTCCGTCTATTGCCGATGGTAAGGAAGTCTGCGAGCGCTTATTACGCTGGGTACTGAGCTTCTCGTGGGGTGATAAACACATGACGGACTTGGTCTCTTTAATGGTCCTCAGCGACTCGACCATGTGACAAAAAAGGGCTCTTTAGCGTGAATTTAACGACGGGTAGAGGAAGGTAATAGAGAGACGACGACGATTGGTGTCGACGTTGTCAAAGATATGACTGACTATCTGATTGACTGATTCCGTGACTGACGGGTTACGGTACGTGTGTAACCGCTCACTTACTTGTCGCGTTTGCAGAGGATTGCAAAATGGCCAGCGTAAAGAGCCCCTGGGCAAGAAAAAAGCGAATCATGGAGAAGATAAAAGAACGGATATAAAAAGCAGGGACATGCTAGCGCTTTGCGATTGGTCCGCTCACTGGACGAACAGCCTCGAGCACCTGATTGTGCGTCTGCGTGAAAAAGCTGGCTTTTAAGCCAATAGGAGACGGAATTGCAAGAGAGCTGGTCGATTCGTACGGAGCTTACCCATAATCCCTGCCTTCGAGCATAGACCGAGATTCGATACGTCAAGGTCGGGTCCGCCTGGATAAAACAATATTTCGAAAGAATAAAATAGGTGGATACTTATTTGTCTTCGTGAAAACTATTTGATCGAGCAACCGGAACATGGTAGAAAGGACGTATATGGATCGTGCATTCCACATCTATTGCTAGGTGAGCCTGTTTTGCGTGGCTTGGATGTGTCAACGACAGCGAATGCGTGCATGGACCCAGGCATGTTCGCTTGCATGCAACTCGGCATGATAATTTCTGGTGTTTGCCGAGCACTGATCGGCAATTTTGAATTCGGTTGGTCAGGTCTTAGCGGGAAAGGCACGGCGTGTCAAGAAAAGAGCCTTTAGTTGTCAGGCGTCCCGGCTTTCGCATTCAGTCGCAGTCAGTCGCAGCCTGCTCGCACCGAATGTTGTCACGTGGAAGGCCTTCCCTCCGTCTGGGCGGTCTTGGTTTTGAGCAGTATTTCTATCGTTGTACAAAGCGCGTTCTCGGTCTATCGTGCTGTCGTGGCAACGAAGCCCTTGAAAAGAGAGACTGACTCGTTGATGTGGACATTGATAATCGACGTTGATGATACCTTCAGTAGCATGCTGAACTTCGATATCCAATGAGTGGACTTTCAAGGCCTAGAGCTTGCACTACTGAAGTGCAAGGAACAAGAAGCCAGGGCCGTTTACGCGATCAATGATGAGCTCTCACTTCTTTGTGCTCTTGCTTTCAATGAAAAGGCGTACGAGAGACTATCTCGAACGTACCCTCACATTGCATTGCACGTGATTACAAAGTCGCAGCAGCCGACCGACCGGGCCGGTTTTTGTACGTTAGAGTGTACGGCCGAATTGCGTTGGACTTTCGACTAGATTAGAGTAGTCCTACGGCGATTAGGGTATGTTGACTATGGTCTTTTCATAGCTCCACCCTTTCAATAATGGCACTTTTTCTGAATGATACATAAGCAGTTTTGTGGGTCGGCTGACGTGGCATCCACTGACTATGACTTGGATTCTTTTATCTGCGCAAATCAGGCTGTCCGAGCTGAAAATCAGATTGACCAGTCTGTCGTCAAATGGGCGTGTTTTCACCAAAGCGGCTGCTTTGTTTGCGATCCGTACCCGGGGCGGATGCGTTCAGAGCTGCGGCAAAAGTGACGCCGCGAATACGTTCCGAGATCTGATAAAAACAACGTATGTTGTGCCTTGGAAAGTATCGACCTCAGCATGTTACTAGTCGCGGGGGCGAAGCCGACACAATGAAGTCGTCTAAAAGGTTCGGAGATATCTGGTAACATCAAGATGTGTTGTCTGATGGCAAGCTCCCGCATCTTGCACCCGAGCAAGATTAACACTGCCCGTGACCAGGCGTTTTGTCGCTTGCAATCAGAAATAGGTGTAGCGTAGCAGCTAACCAAAGTATAGACGGGAACATGCCGATGCTCGGCCTGCACGGCACAAGTCGACGAAGGTGAGGCTGACCTAAAGACTTGGTACAACTTCGTGTGTGTAGGAGACATCTAAATTTGTCTTCTGCATAGCTGATAAATAGACAGGTGTATACAAAAACACCGAACTAATTTACAACACCAGGTCAGCTTTTGAGGGTCAATCTACAGTCTTGTACGCGCATGGACGTACTGAAGGAACACCACCAGGTCTGTTCCATACTGACGTAGTTCCCATTCGTTTATCATGGCAAGCGATGCACAATCATTCCTGAAACGTGAGTATACAACCATCTTGACCACTCAGCCAGATTACAAAATCAACCGAATGTTTTGCCGGTATTCGTCGGTGACTATGCTTCGTTTAAAAACCTGTAGATCAATATCGTGGCGGAGGTGCGGTAACATCAGTGGTGAAAGACCTGCAGTAACACACCAAGGAAAAAAACAAAAGGGGAAACGTGCACGAAAAAATGCAAAACGTCAATTATCTAATAAATCTATGTCTAAAAGTGATTTGTTTACGAAACATTGATTTGTTTCTGACAAAGTTAAAGCGTCATTGAAATAATAGGCAAATAGGCAGAGTTATTGATATACATAGTAAGTAATTAAATGTTAATATCTAACACCATAATGACATATATTAGTGAAACAGTGGTCGCTCCTAAAATATTACTTTTACGACAGTAAGTAAAATCATCTTCGGAACTATTTAATGATCCAGTAAAGCTTGCACAAACTAATAACAAAACGAGCACGACTTCACCAGAATGAACCCTTCAAAACAAAAACGTTGCGTGACATTACTGAAGTGTTAGACCTCTCTTTAATGGTGCTAATTGCAAGATAGAATTTAAGTTTCAGTCCCTAGTTGGCTATCAATGTGCTACATCTTTGTCAATCCTTCTATAAACCTTTTCCATGACGTCAATTCTGTGACGTCAGGTCTTTAATGACGCCTTCTTAGATGATCGAGTTGTAGTCTTCTCAGCACATCCGATTGACTCGTTATATATGGCACATCAAATGCCTTGTCGGTCCCAAAGTACTTAAAATGAAGAGTATTGGTTGGCTTCGTCATCACGTCTGCTAACAAATCTTGCATCGGACAGTACTACAGAAGCACTTCGCCAAATTAAACCTACTCGCGCGTAAAATAGTATAATTGTCGATGTGTTTTTTCCGCTTGTGGAACTCCAGATTCTCGGCTAAGGCAATTGATACTTGTTATTTTTTGTATACCTTGATGAATTTATCGCTTGATATTTCTCCAAGCTTGCATAAAACAACGCAAGCCACACTGCTTTCTACTTTCATGTAACGGGTTCAGCTGACAATATTTGGTGCTAAAATTAAATAAGAATGAAAATTATTTTTTTTTAGGGTCCGCTGTTTACAACTTCTTCAGCTTACTAATTCTCCGTTCACCATGATAGCGTTGCCGCTTACGCTTTGTCTTAATGCGATGTCTTCTGACCAGTCAGCGTCGGAAAACACGTGCATGCTGTTACAGTATCCATTCGTAAACTTAAGACCATGTGCGGGTGTCTCTTAAAGGCACATCGTCATACGTTGAAGCGCTTTTCGATGAGTTGAGCATGTGTCAGATGCAAACTGAGATAATAAATCCACCGTAGCGGCGGGTATCTGGACGTGTAGAGGCCATAAGGTACATGATAACGCCAACTGCACTCCGATATAGCCCGTTAAACACGACGCCTTCGTGCTCACAACCTTGCTCACACATATTATTAGGTTGTAACGGATCACTGACGAATACGAACTGGACAAACCGTTAGAGTTAACTTTTACTGACAAAATGAAGTTCAGTGCCCTGCTAGGTGTAGACACTAGACGGAGGAAGGTAAATGACCAAGATGAAGACTAGTCGTGGTCCAATGTAACTGGGCACACTTTGTCTGGGTGCCACGAAACTTCACGTACACTAGTACGTGCAGAAGAAGCTAATCTACTTGAACGACTCGGTCAAGTAAAGGCAAAAGAGAACTGTATTTCATATAGTTAAGCTATCAATATAAGTTTAATCTTTATCTAAGTATGTTAAACTAAGTCGTCGTATGACGACAACCTGCTCACCAATCATTGCGCGCGTCTAGCAGCGATGGGTGGTTTTCTATAATTGATGCATCTTTTATCAACCAATCTTTGTGCGCGCATGAATATTATCAAAGGGGATAATATTCCTTCAATATTATCCATCTCGGATGATATTGGTAGAATATTGTCATGCTTGACAATATTCCAACTGACACCGTTTAGTGTCAATTTCATGTAACGGGCTACTTCGTTACATCACCCCCCCCCTTAACCATCAATCACCCGTTGATTGAATTAGAATTGATTGGGACACGGTGACCACCGTTGGATCATTCTGGGAAAGGGAGCAGTTGTTGGTCAAATTCCATTTATTTGCCAATCCAACGCATGGTTTTAAAATCCATACGAGTTGCTACTGTAGCAGCAAAAAGGGCGGCTGCACGCATGCGTGCAGCTGGAGAGAGCACTTCTCACACCTCAGCAGCAGGGTGATATGTCGCCTGATGTGGTGAATCGTCCACGTGGTGAGTCACCACGTGCGACAGGCATACCGCTGCGTCTGCAGCGGGTAATACGAGTCGTAAACAAGATGAGTCTAAAAAAGAGCTCGTCTATTCCGGCGAGTCGGATGATGTATCCGGATTAAAGGCGACGCCTCACGCCTTTGGATCACCCGAGCCGGACACTGCAAGAGCCAGGCTGGCTGGCTCTGGTCAACGTGGCGGTATCATGTCCGAGATCTTCGGATCGAGCGATTATTCCGAAGAATCTCCGCTTCACGCAAGTCCACCCAATGATAGGACGCGTGGGGATGGTGGTGATGCACCTATACGTCACCACGAGCAAAGTAACTCGGGGGATTGGGGGTGTCACTGGTGTCAGCGCTCACGCTGAACACAATTAAGAGGCTAGGGACCGAAATGTCCTGCGCCACGCTCCTCGGGCTGAGTCTCCGTGGATGCCGTCATCCAGAGAGTTGGACCGGTTGGCCGGCATGACTACTGAACGGGACCAAATTCCGTCGTTCGACTGTAGGAAGATCTTCCCTCATAACTCCAGCACGG